AGAGGTCGAACTCCCCAGGATTAACAGCCAAAAGGAAGCTAGACCTCCGGTCCCCCTCCCCAACAAAATGCCTGTCTGCACCCAGAGAGCCAGCCAAAAACTGCTCCCCACCTTTCCGGCCAGAGCCCAACCTGCCCAGCCTCCCCGCCTCCCCCTTTTCTTTCTTCAAATGGACCATTAACCCAGACTGGCTACATCTTTGGTAATGCTAATAACCTCCCTTTCCCCGCTCACTCCGTTTCTTTTCCCTTGGAGTGGGGCAGGGGGGAAGGAAAATTCCCCTGATTTCCTAATCTATAACAGACACGAATCAGAGGACCCCTGCCACTTAACTCCCCCAATCTAGCGCAGACCATAGCAGTACTTACCTTCGTTGACATCCCGTTCCAAGAAATTGATCTCCTCGGTTCCCTACCCTCTATGACTTGTGTTATTTTTCATAGGTATACCCAGCCAGTTTTATTTACACCCCATGATGTGACTCCCTACAAATCCATCTATCAAGGGACCACTTCGCCGTGGTGCAACAATTCGATAGCCACCACCATACCAACGGAGCATATACCCAGAAACATGCGACTTCCAAAAGGGTATTTCCTGCTGTGCGGAGATCGGGCGTGGCCCAGCATTCGGGCCTATCCGGAAGGGGGTCCCTGTATGGTAGGAAAATTAGCTCTATTCAACCCGGCGAAGTTTCAATTGGAAAATCAATTTGTTTTCTCAAAAGATGAAGCTAAAAGGTCCCTGCGTGTAAAGCGGAATTGGAGATTCCCTCCAGAATTACCCAAACTTCGATCTGGACCGAAAGTCACACCCCCACCAATCAGGCCCCAAAATTCTCTCCCTGCACCACATGTGAATGTTGGAAAGCCTCAGTCTTGGCCCACACCTCTGCCCTTCCCAGAAGATTGTGATTCCAACATTCATATCTGGTCAAGGGTAAAAAACTTCTGGGCGTCCTTCCCTATCCCCAGGATAGGAACGGCCCATGCCCTGTCCCTACTGACCCACCTCGGTTGTTGGTTGACAAAAGAGGCCAATGCCACAACCAAGGCAATAGAAGGTCTGCTAGCAGACACGCAAAAATTGAAAGAAGTCAGTTTGCAAAATAGAGCGGCTATTGATTTTCTCCTCTTGGCACATGGTCACGGGTGCCAAGAATTCGAGGGGATGTGTTGTATGAATTTTTCCGACCACTCTCAATCCATCCATGAGAGTATCCATCAGTTAAAAACATTGGTCGGAGAAATTCATCAGTCTAAAAGTGAAGGCCTCAACGATCTTTTTGATTGGCTAAAGCTTCCTTCTCTACCCAATTGGTCTCGAAAAATCATTATTATGTGTGCACTATCCTTATTTGTTCTTGTTTCTTTGTGTACCTTTTTACCCTGTTTTATCATTTGCCTCTGTAAGTTGCTGGTTTCCACCATCACCGCGAACATCGCTGCTGCTTCAAAAAACAAAGAAGGGGGAGATGTTGGAGGAGGAGAGACGGACTGGGAAAAATATGAAGCTTGGAGAAAGATTTATGACCCCTAAATGGACACTTTTGTACCAGATTGGACATTCTTATACTGGATATGACATTTCCTGGACTTGACAGTTTTACCCCAGTTTTCCCCAGTTCATTATTGTATTGTCATATGGTTGTGTGTACCCCCAGTTGTTGTTTTTAAATTTATCCTCCATGTTGTCTCCTTCTTCCCCTCACAGTTTTCCCGCCTTAACCCTGTTTTCCTGCTCCTCTGCCTGCCATTGGCTGATCTTTGGTGCAGTGCAGAGGCAGCTACCATTGGCCCATTTCCCCAGTTACACCCAAACTCCTCCCCTCCTTACCCAGTTACCCAATCACATTTATCCCTGAGTTGTCCGTCCTATGCTCCTCCCTAGCCCAAACTCCACCCCTAAACCTACCCTTTATAAGTTACTGTTTCCCTAATAAAGTTTGGCATTGCTTCCCGAGACTTCTACTGTGTCAAGACCCTGATTTGCAGTGCCCGATCCCATTCCTTTCCCTGCGGGTCGTGGCACTTCTCCCTGCCCCACTGCACTGCCCCCAACAATTCATCATAAGCCAAGGCAAACAAGGCAAGCGGAGCAGCCCAAGCCCTTCCTCGCCTGCACACCAAGCCAGCTGGTGCACAGTTCTGACCCCCTTCTCTGCTACCCTCATGATGGTTTTGGTCAGGCTGGCTCCCCCCTGCCCCAGATCCAGCCCAGAACAGGGTGGGTGGCACAGGCTGTCGGCAAGGCCGGGGCCTGTCTCACAGTAACCCCACAGCTCCATCCAAAAGCAACTTGGCTGAAGAACTAATCCTGTTCCCCCTCAGCAAAAGGGGCAATCTCCGGTGCCACACCCGGGCATGGCCATGCGATGCCCAGCACCAGGAGCATCCCCCGGCTGTGGGCTCACCTGCAAACTGGGTGTAGGCCGTGTCCTGGAGGAAGGTGCCACATTCAAAGTCAAGGAGCTTGGCCTCGCCGGTGGCCAGGTGGAGGAGGATGTTCTGGGGCTTGATGTCCCGGTGCAGGACGCCGCAGCTGGTGCAGTGCCACACGGCCTGCAGCACCTGGTGGAACAGCCCCCACGCCATCTCCTCCGGCAGGAACCCCCACGCCGTCAGTAAGAGAGAGAGGTCCTGAGACGGCTCCGGATGCTCCATCACCAACAGGAAACCGTTGGGGAGCT